CGGGCCATCACACCGCTATGTCCCGCTCCCTCCCGTAACCAGCCGCCCATCTCACCCCAACACCCCCCCCCAACCATCCCACAGCATTGCCCCACAGTAGACTTCACCCTGCACACGTATCATGGGCCAAGAAAGTGCCCTCACAGCCATCACTGTCCCCTCCCCAACCCTGCAGGATCCACGAGACTCACCTCCGTCAGTGCATGTAGTTGTCCCTGGTGCACGCACACCCCCATGAACCTGCAAGACAGAGGGGACCTGAGCATGGCAATGGTGAGGAGCAGCCCCAGGAGCTCATCCAGAGTCAATGGTAGCTCCAAACCCCCCAGGCTGGGGAAAAGGGGACACCAGGGATGACAGGTTGTACCTGAGGATGTTGGGGTGCGAGAGGCGGTTCATCAGCTGCACCTCCCGCAGCATGTTGCCCCTGTTGCTGGTCAATTTGTTCATCTTCAGCACCATGATCTGCCCCGACTGGCGGTGCCGTACCTAGAGGGGGGCGCAGGGGAGGCTGAGCCCCATGTATCTCTGCAGCACCCCTGCACATGAGGCATGGGGCACCTCAGGGACCATTAGAGCACCCCCAGTGCTGATGATGCACATCCCAAACTCTCTGTGGGACCCCGCTTGTCATGCTCCCCCCACCATACTATACTACCCATTCCTCCCCAAGGCCAAGGCATCTCCACATTGTGACTCCAACCCTGCTGCAAGGACAGGCAGATGCAGGATTGGGGTACACCAGCGATCACCACAAAACCACAGTATTTCCGGGCCAGCACCACGCAGCCAGACCCTACCAGCATGGGTTGGAAGACAGAGGGTGTCCATTGCCCCCCGAACCAGACCCAACCCTGCCCCAAAGCATGACCCCATCCTGGTGGGGCACAGCACTAGGGTGAGGCTGTATATTTAGTCGTCCCCAGCCCGATGCTGTAATGTGAGCTGGAGCCTGGTCTCTGGCCAGGAACAGCAGCTGGGAGCGTGGCCAAGCACGGCCACCCCCATCCTTCAGCCCCGGCACGTGCGGGACAAGGGATGAGCACGGGATTCCCTGTCCCAGCACCACGCTGTGGGGGGCTGAACCAGTGCCGAGTGTCCCTTCCTGAGCTGGGGGTGGGATGAGACCCCCCCAGGCGCAACAGCCGGTGGTGGGGACAACCCACCGGGCCCACACTGCCACCCC